ATTCTCCTTATCTTTAATCTCCACATAAAAGTAGCATTACAGTCATTTTAATGACGTGTGTTCCTATATCTCTTGTGCAAACCCAACGAGAATGTACTTCTATAATTTTAAAACGCATATAGCGTGCGCTAAGTAATTAATATTTATTCTTTCATTTGGCTATCTCATACTGTACTTAATATCAGTAACATGTCTATTTGTCTCATTTTCACAATGGGCTTTGAGTTTCATTTGTGCAAAATTCTTGCGTAAATCCTTAGTCTCTTATATTTGAAACCGGAAATCAAGTTTTTTAGAAATAAGCTATGCGTCTGAATTTGACCCATAGCTATATTATGGCGTAACCTGGTTGTTGGATTTACAATAAGCTCATTGCGTTTTACACAAGTTAAAGTGAAACAATTTTTGCATAAGTTTGATTACGGATTAAGAATCATTCTGTCCCTGTGATTGAATGACCCTAAAGCTCACATTATAGCCAGAAGATCCTGAGTTCGATTCCCGGTGGGGCCATGTGCTAGTGTACTGCTGAAGAGGCCTGGGCTAGAATGAAACATGTGTCCATTACTCCACGGTTTTCAATTGTTCTCCAACTGATGTCAGTCTATGATAAAACTTGAAATGAATCAACTTCCGACAAACTAACAAGTATACATTTTTATATAATCAGTGATAACAGCTCTCATGCGATTCCCTGTACTTGTCATTCGGTTTTCCCCATTATCAACTTTGTGATTATACCAATTTGTTTAGAATTGGTCAACAATTAATACGTTAAGTATGTTACAACTGTTCATGAAATATTTTAGTTGAACACTATCCATAGTGAGAATTTTTAACTGGATAACTATTTGGTTTTTACGGTTTCATAATACAAATGACGTTCACCAGCAGCAAGATTTTCTCCATCTCTTTAAAAGATAAGCTACCCGTCTGGCCGCCTCCATGTGCATCTATCAGTTTACCTACTCTTGTGTAGTAAGGTATATTGGCCGTGACCAGAGAACGGTCTCCACACGGTTACGAGAACATATTCCAGCATCGTTTTAGAAGGGAGAAAGGAAGAGTGTGCGAAGCTCTATTTTAGACCACTTGATAGATTCCTGTCAATCTACCAACCCTGACTATGATTTTAAGATCATCTACCGAATGTATGCTAACTTGCCACGTTTTCTTCTTTATAGACTTCTCAAGACAATGGAGGCCTTGTCAATTCATGAATTTAAGCCAGAGCTTTGTTTACAAAAGAAGTATGTACAATCCCAACTTCTGCCTCGGCCGTAGAGGGATAGACATTTATTTATTTTGTTTGTTTAGTTATTATATGTACCTTTCCCTCATTACTACGATTATTATTATTCTCACTTTGAATTGTTTCCGCTTGTCCCATTTGTCATTCTAAATCCAATTTTTTTTTACAATATTGAATTCAATCTTATCAAATTTCACACCCTGTTATGTAATATTTTGTATTAGCCCACCAATCCTATACTTATGTATCCCTTTCCAACATATATACATCTTATGAATTATTTTGTATATGACACTAATTTTTTTGCTACTTGACATTTAACTACGATTATAATCACAAATGTTTTAATTGCATTTCGTACTATTATTATTTCATGTATTCTTTGTTTTTTTTTATATTTTTGACTACAGCTTGATTCCACACCGTATTTTTTTGGTACAGGTATGGAATTTTCAGCATGTGATATCGGTAGCCCAAATTTTGCAGGCCGAACATAGATATCAGGTGTGCGTCGGCAGGAGATCGAACCCCTAACCATGTGCATGGTCGGCGAGAGTCCTAACCACTGTGCCACCGACGCACACCTTCGATCTAATTCCTTCACCGGATATAATTTAATTTCTTAAAAAACCATGTATATACGATTATACGGATTGATAATGAATTCGTTGAAAAAAATCTCTTCGCTGAATATTTTGCTCATAAATCTAACTTTATAAACAGCTATTCTTGACCATTGGGTGTAGAAAGAGACCTGTCCAAATTCATCCTACTTTCTCCTTATTCATCAGTTAACTGAATGTCTACAGATTTATGTGAATCAAATAACCCACTCGATTGAAGTTAGGGAAGTCAACTTATCATTTTTCTTCATCTTTAATTTATGCCTGATTTTTATTCATTTAACTAGTAAATTATTACTCACCCAAATATACATACGCAGATATATTTCTCCTTTTTGCTAAACAAAATTTATATCTCAGGATGGTGATGCTTTAAAGATAACTGCTCAGTTTAAACCCTTTGTTATTAAGACTGCACTTTTTATTCGATTATTTATAAAGATGAAAAATATACCGCAGTTCTCTCGAATAATGAATGGTATGATACTGACAATGTGAAAAACTGTTAAAATTATTATTTAGTTTATATATATGAGCTAGCAGTCACGCTAAAGATGTTAGTCATAACTTCTGGTCCAATAGTGAATTTTATGATACACATGTGAACAAAGTTTCATAAAGTAAAAGTTTTAGTTTTCTCCTGTCAATTCAGCTTTTTAATACCTTCTGAGTTGGTTAAATTGATTTTTTCCCTGATTGATTCACAACTTGCAGATAAACTTGGGTAGTAGGTGTATTACCTTGTAAATACTAACTTTTAAGAAAGTGGTAGTTTTCAGGTAGGAGTGATAAATTAATCATTCATTTCGGGGTTTCATCATGAGGTGACATCGATCAGAGAACCACTGGAAAACCTGGGAGTTCTGAACACCTGTTTCGTCCTAAATTGGGACTCATCGGCAGTACGCAACCACGCCGCGAGGTTCAAACCCAGGACCTTCTGGTTACAAGGCTAGCGAGCTGGTAGACCATTCAGCCACTGAGACCCAATCCATGAATTCCAACTTCTGTCAATTCATGATATATCGTCACCACTAAGCAATGTCATCGCTGGAGAGTATTTATCCAAACACCCGACCTATTGTACTCCACTGGTCATGAATACTCACTAGAACCCAGGTGACTGTGTGCTGTGAAGACTCCTAAACAAGGACGGAACGGCTGTTCAGTACTCATTGGTTTTCCAATGGTTCTGTAATCGTTGTCAGCTCGTGATGAAATCCTGTAACCAACAAATCAAATCCCTACAAACTAATACTTGAAAATCATTCACCACACTTCAATGACAGGAGAGCACATAATAAGTTAATATCAACTACATTAAGACATTTGGGAGATTATTAGTGATTGTTATCAACACTGCGAAAGAAGACCTTATATGAAAATTGAGGTCACTACCCGTGGAAATACTGATTTGAAAGACATGTTATTTTCGAGAACATTGCTTAATACTCTGCACTGTACACGCTCTGCTTAAATAACTACGCTACCGAAATTTTTGTCCCACACAATATATCAGCATTTCTCCACATATTATTGTTTTAATCACTCAATTATGACCCTGACACACAATATATACTCATGCACATTTTCATTAGCTAACGATCTACTACCGTGCACTTCTCTTAATTGAAAAAAATATTGTAGAAGTCTTCACACCGAAGAATATTTCGACACATGATCAGCTTTTCGCTTATGGGTTCTATGCAAAAAGTAAATATTCTAAAATAAAATACGCTAAGATTTCTCTACCAAATGAAAGCACACTGTTAGGAATAAGACTGGTAATATCATTATCTCTGTGCACTTCATATAAGCAGAATCACGACCGCCTATTACGAATATTGCAAAGGAGTTTAAGAAATAAATCACAGCTGTGGATCTAGATGTGATATTTGTAATAATTCTTTATCATCACATCACTACTTGATTTCGCCAAGACTTCTAAAATCCATGCAACATCTCCATTTCTCTGTCTTTGTGAAACCTAGAAGAACAAGATTTGCAGTATAAAGTGAACACATTCTAGTTTGAGGCTTTTCCTCAGCTCCTGACATTCTAAAGTATACATACTATTAATGAAACAAGGACACATAATTTTGTCGTTCTATTCATCAGAAGTTTGTCATAAAGATTGTATTTTTGAAAACTAACAATGAGTACAGTATGACGGCATAAACACGTGTGAACAACACGAAAAATAAAACAATTATTTACCGTAAGTTTCGGAGAGGATTCAAGGTATTTCAGTAGTTGGCTTATAACTACATAACACTAACCAGCAAGAAATAAGAAAAAAGACGATCCAACAATTTATAAGAAGGGGAGAAAGACACATATTCGCTTCTTTGAAGATATTTATGAAAGCCAAAGGTTCAAGAGTCTCCAGTCCCTTGATGAAGCCTTTTACCAACACCTATTCGAATCGCGACACAGAATAGACATTCTAGTTGCACTAACCACTGTCAGCAAAGAAATAAAACTTCACTTCGGTATGCTGAATCTAGGTTTTTTATCATCCCCAGTTTTTAACTCTTGGTTTTCAACTCAGCTGATTTCGTACCACTGCTAAATCCTTACCTGGGTTATTTCCCCGTGTATTTTCCTGGTTAATTATTGTTTTATAGTTAAGTACACTTAAAACTTCTCAAATCCTCTTTCAAACTCATGTTAAATAACTACTTTTTTTGAGTTGTTCTTAACTCCATAATATTACACTCCTTGTTGCTTCTGATAACTTCTGCTGAATAGACTGAAACATGTGTGTTCTTATTTCATGGATGAAATGTCTATTTGTTCGTTGGCACTCTTGTGATAGACTTTGCACCAGCCAAGTAGGTGGTCTGGTTCGACTCCTAGCCACAGCATTAGGAAACCTTCCTTAGTCACTACTGAGCCAAGATAACTGTGCAGCTTCCTACTGGAGTGTAAAAGCTTGGAGGTACATATTCTACTAGAAACATTTAAGGCCGTCTGTAGTTGTGAAGAAGCTAAGAAATAGGAAATGGGAACAACGTGTTCTTCTTGTTTTGTCTTTTTGAAACAGTCTATCCCATAATATGAAATTATTAAACGGTTCACAAAAATGTGTTAACTTTAAAGAGCAAAAAACCATTAATACTTACTCTAAGTTTTCATTAATGTATTCATTAAACAAATTTCCACTATATTTGAGTTAGTTGCATATTACGTAATAGACGAAGTTGAACAGAAAGTCTACTGTAGGTTTTGTTTACTCGGATTTTTACCGGTACACTCTCAGCATTTAAGAAAGTAGTTTTATAACAGATTTACAGTGAGAATATATATGTATGTATATACTAGAAAAAAGTTAAGGAAGATTTTTTCAAAAGTATAAATGTAATTCAGTTTAGTATCATTGAGATGATCTGGATTTATTCAGATTCATTCATCTACTCCACTGTTTTATTTAAGTTTATTTTGGATAGACAAACACATTTCACTCTGCAATGATTGGTTGGTTTAAAGCCATGTACTTACAGTAATTAAAAAGAAATGATAAAAAATTCTCTTCGACGAAAAATGATTGTATTAAAGAACACATTACGCAATTAAATTGCAGATTAATAGTAACAGAATTGGTACGAATATTAAGAAAACATTTTTCCAAGTCTTTCCTTGGTAGGTTTTGTATTGTGTTTGTTTTTGTCCCACTCATCCTCCCATGATATGAATAAACTGGTTCTTTCCATCTCAGTAACCAAATGGTAACCTGAAGGTCCTGAGTTCGATGCCTAGTGAGGTCATGGTGGAGTACTGTTGAAGATTCCTGAACAGCTGTTCATCACTCCTGGTTCCCACTGGTTCTCTTACAGATGTCAGCTCGTGGTCAAACCTGTTACTAACCAAATCCCCACAGATTAAAACCTGATAATTTATTTGATGCTCAATAGTAACTGCCTCTATACAGGAGGTTACCTGGAGTTCCAGTGAGAAGTCGTGTCCAGAGGAGCCCACCAAGTCAAGTAAGAAAAGAGATGATGACCGGTAACATTGGCTGTCGATAGTGATATATTTATCGCGAATCAACAAAATCTGGAATTCATGAGCCACTGAATTGTGTCCTAGTGGCTGAATGGTCTAGGGGCTTGCCTTGTGATAGGAAGGACCTGGGTTCGAACCCTTGTGGGTAATCAAACCTGCAATTAATCAAATCCCTGCAAACCAACTCTTGGAGATTCTGGATTTAATTACCTAGACATATATGACTTTGGGTAGAGAGAATTATAGAAACGTCTTTTCGCGGTAGATATCAGTTGACAGCATGATTCACGGAGTATTAACAGATGATTTCTACGTTCACTCTCATTTTCAGTCTTTGAGATGACATTCTGAATAATCGAAAGTGTAGACAGAATCAGTTCGCAAGCATCGAGTCTATTATTACACATACATTCCAGTTGGTGAAACTGTGGCGTTGATATGTTAAAAGCTTCAGGGTATCCTCATAGCGATGAAGATATTGCTCATATCCGTGTACCATCATCGACAGCAGCCTGCTTAAATCACTGGGCTACCAGAATTCACATGCATCAAAATGCCTAAAATCTTCTGCAGTTCTTACTTTTTAAGTCGCGCAATTATATCAAAAGACCAATAAATGAACTCGTGAGCATATTTATGAAGTTTCCAACTACACGCTATGCAATTTTCGAAGGAATTAAAGAAAAAAATGTACAAAATTGGTTCTCTGCGCATATGCGGCAACACTACGACAAACTATGTACTTCATATTATTGCTGTACATGTCTATTCTGTAAATAAAGCAAGTATTTTGGAACTAAATACGCTAAAAATTTCTGTAATATGTGTTCACACATTGTCTGAAATGACGCTTTACTATTATTATTGTGTGTACTAAAACTCTTCGGTTATATTCCACTAATCTGACTTTCACGATCGATATCAGATTGCTTTTAAATCTGGAAAACACAATTATCAGAGTGTTGGTACAGCAGATGAATATATCCCAGTGTTACAGGGATGATATTTTTGTATAGTTGACAGTCGCAATTTAAACTTATTTAATACTGCCAGTCTCAAATTCAAATCTGATAATTTCAGTTTGTGATCCGAATTCACTAAATAGAAGAATTTCTTAATAAGTGCTTGACAGTAGAGAAAATAAAATACCAGCTTCCGCAGGAAATGAAATAATTGAAATATTGTGGATGAAGAATAGCAAATGCATCAGTGCAAAATCCAGAACATCAAAGATCCCATTCCTGAGTGGAATGAAACAGTCAATTCAAAAATTCGAAAATGACATAAAACTCAATTCCATTGTGGATAAAATTTATTTTGATAAAGTCTAACAGTGCTGTCATGTAGTAATATTTACTGACGACGACGTTTCGAGCACAATTTATTGCCTATAGCCATATCAATTTACACACACAACTCTCCAACTTCCTTTACATGGCTCCACTATTTCTCATCTCTTGATTTCACTGGTAGAAAATAACTCCTCTTGTTTCCTTTGTTTCAATCTATAAATGCACACTCCACTAGTATTTATTATTGTCGCTGACTCGGAAGTTTCCAACAAACTTCAGAAAAAGCATAGTCGTAGGGAGTAACGTACATGAGATAACTGCGTCTGAGATTTCTGGTACAAACTCCACTGTCTGGGGGATAAAACTAACTAAATACTTAGAGACTTTAATAATTTAGTTGTGGGTGAAATTTATTTCGGTAAAGTTTCACAGTGTTATACAATAACATTTACTGATGACCACGTTTCTAGCGCGTGGCGTCGGTGGTATAGCGGTTAGGACGCTCGCCGACCATGCTCATGGTCCATGGTTCAATCCCCGGCCGACGCATTCCTTTACCTCTCTAAGCCGGAAATAAAGCTGGTGAAGAGGAAAGGTTGGGCATGAGGCTAGCAACCCCATCCTGTAAAATAAACACTGCTACCAAAACTTCAAGCCACTAGCTTAAAGCCCTATGTTCCACAGGGGAACGTGAAGGAAAAAAAACGTTTTGAGCACAATTTATTGCTCATAATCATATCAGGGTACTCACACAACTCTCCAAATTCGTTTATATAATTCCATTATTTTCCATCGCTTGATTTGATTGGTAGTTGTATTTTCCATATTTCCAGTATGAGTGATGAGTCATTCATATTGCACCTGTTTGGTGTACACTCGATGAACAAAGAATCAGTAATCATTCTCTCACCCCACCTACCTATATTACTTCTTAGAACTTTAACCCTCTCTCACCCTATTCTCTGATTGTGTGTTAGTGCATGCAGTGCAATCGCTGAGTTTCCTTCTAAATTACTTATCTCCGTAGGATCAATCATTCCAAACTTAGCTAGATTCTTGTGTTCTGACAAAATGACTGCACTGATCTACTTGTTTGACCTGTTAAGTTGACCCAACTCACAGTCATTTCAAGGTACTTTTTAGATTATATTATTTTGTCTAATTGGGCCAACCTACAGGATTCTTCAGCATACACAGCTTGTCCCTGAGTGAGTTTGTAGGTTTGAATACCACCTTTATTCCTGCTTTATTAAGAATCCTACTGAGAATCTCAGATGTCCCCTCATTATATGATAAAACTGAAGATTCCTTATATTCCCTCTTATTTATGTTATCATTATAAGTTCCACCAATTTTTATTTTGCTTTAGAAGTTTTCTAATCTTCCTAATGAATTCAATAGGATAGTTAGTTATTTAACACCAACGCTTCTTCTATCTGTTTCATTAAATCACTTAGTTCTACTGCGCGTTTTTTAGACACTTAACTAAACCTGACTTCACTGATCGATAACGGATGAGATGAATTAAAGTCTAAATATCTGTTAGAATGCGTTGGCCTTTTATAAACGCTAATGTGCAGTCTACCCTCTTCCGTTCGTTTTATTTTACAGTCTAACACCATATCTAATTCTCCTCGTTCATTTCCCGATTTAAGCATGACTTTTATTTCCTTAACTAGTGAGTTTATGTCTGTGTCAAGAAGCTAGATATGTGTTCTATTATCAACACTGTGAAAGTGTCATCTACGTATCCCCACCATATCTTTGGAGTAGGAGTGAATGTATCAAGAGTAAAATTTTTCCTAGCTGCCCATAAAGATATCTCTTATGATAGGGGATACTGGTGGTCCCATTGCTACACCTTCTGTTTGTTTATTTATTTTGTAATACTAATTTTAACTTGAAATGAAGGTTAGGAGGTGCGAATATACATTACAAGAGCCTTAGAAACAAAAGAATACACAGGATTAATACAAATTACTTCCACTTCAAGTTAAAATTATTATTTCAGTTTGTTTCTATGCTCATTTTTACACACTTGTAATTCTTTCTTAGCCTCTTGTAAACCATATCTAGTTGAAAATAATTGCCACTTTTTATATATTTTCTCTTGAAATTTAAAGATAGTAGACCCAAGGCATAAATGAATGGGCAGCTTTGTCTAATGAGTGAGTCCAGGATCAGAAGTTGGTTCTCTTTTAACTGATTTTAGGGCCATACTGATTGGAATATTAGTGTGAAGACTAGTTATATCAAAACTAACCATACTTTCATCATTCTCTAATCGAATGTCATTTAGCTTCCTTTCCATTTCGTATGAATTAGTTAGCCTAGAGTTTGGATGATTTTTAATGGGATGTAATATTACAGCTAAGTGTTTTGACAATTCATAAATAGGGGTATATCTGAAATTTAATGTTGGTCGTATGGGTAACCTGGCCTACATATTTTTATAGTACCATATATTCTACTAGCGTTACCAGTTTTAGGCGTTAAATTAAACCATTTCGACTCACCCAGTGATGTCTTCATTCTGCGTATTAGATCCTCTGTAGATTTCTTATTCTTACTCATTATTGTATCTACGGGCTTCTTTATTTCCTCATATGCACCCGCTGCTGTGTGTTTACTGACTTCCTTGACATAGTCAGATTTACCCATTACCACTTTTGGCTTTCCCGCATCATTCTTTGTGATGACAATGTTTTTATCCTGTTTTAGATTAATCAGAGCTAATCCTTCCGATTCTCCAAAGTTTGATTGTGCTTTCTTTTGCTTTTTCAGAGTTAATGCGCATTGTGCTCGCACCTTTTCCTCTGTCGTATTACCTATTGAAGTAGCATAGAAGTAGCATTAAGTTCAGTATATAAAATGATAGCAGAAAAGCTTCGAGCACAGAGTGCATTAATCTTGAAAAATCAAAGGAAAGCACAATCAAACTTTAAAAAAATTGGAAAGTTGCTTGAGTAACCTGATATGATTATGAAAGATAATTTGTGCTCAAAACGTCATCAGAAAATATTACTGTATAACACTGTGGAACTTTATCAAAATAAAATTTTATCCAAAATGTAATTATACTCCATAGTGCACAAGTTACGTTCTTATACCAAGGACGTAAAACTTACCCTTAACATAAAACTTTGTGTATCACTTCTGATGTACTCTCTATAGCACACACATTAGTTACAATTAGAGGTATATGCCCACTCGCATGATTTAGCACCTGTATGAAGGGTCAGAATAGACTGTAACGGAAAAATCGTTCGGAAAACTCCTTCTGAACTATCTGATCACAATATTTATACTGATTTTGATATTTCAACTAACTTCAAGATAATTATCCGCATTTCTCCTAGACAGCATATCATTGTTTTTGCATTTGCACATCATATTTTGACTTTGTCCTTATTATTTATCTTTGACTCTATTCGGTCTCTAATTTTAATGCGTCTCTTTGTGGTTATGCTATACACTGAAGGTGTGTTGTTTTATGATGTGATGTTTGTGTAAATGAAGTTCACCCTGACATTCGACTGACTGTCTGATGGGAGTGTTGGAGTGTAGTCCTTGCGGACATAGTTTTGATCCACCTTGTTGGGAATATTCTATTCGATTCTGAGATAGTTCTTATGGTAGAATTTTGACTGAATAATTTTGTTCTACCGTGCTTGTTTTGTGCTAAGAATCCTACACTGCTTGTGTAACTACCGAATGACACTGTTAAGTTGATTTTGAGTTTTTGATATTATTGTTATTGAATAGAAGTACATAGACATTTCGACGGATTGTCGTCTATTTGACACCTCTGCACTGTTTGTGACTGTGCATGTCTCAAAGAAGTTTCAGACAGGTATACATTAGGACGCAGAGATAGACTTCTTGAGTTCAGACAGTAACAAGTCGGTTTTGGTTGTAATAAAGACTGAGGTGAAAAATCAGCAGAACTCTCACAAACTACCAAATAAATTACAAATGCAGTAATGCTACTCTTAAAGCTGTCATGGTTACTGGCAAACCAGAAAAACAGGTGCTTACAGTAGGGGACATATATGTGACTTGAGCTGTTACAGTTTGCTTCTATGGTCAAAATAAGGCATTAATCATCTTGGATT